AGAAGAAGAAGAAGAAGAAGAAGAAGAAGAAGAAGAAGAAGAAGAAGAAGAAGAAGAAGAAGAAGAAGAAGAAGAAGAAGAGGAAAGTGAGTTAGGCTGGAGGTTGGGAGCCCAGGCCCCAGCCAGCTCCTGCTCCCTCAGGTTGAGTGACTATAGGATAGCCCACTCTTTCTTTGGCTCTGATACATCTTTCCAGGGAAAGCCTAGACCCTCTGTCCAGCCAAGTACTGGCCTCCGGTGACCAGTCCCAGGTCTCTTCCGTGTCCCATACAGCAGTTCCTTTTTTGTAGGGAGCTCAGCTTTCTCCCGATGCAGTGAAGCTCTGAAGGGCCATCTTCTACAAAAATTGCTCATCTGGTTGCAGGGGAGGTAGTCAGGGCTTTTCTGTCGTGGTGGGGAGGGCTCACAGCTCCTTAGTAGAACAAGGCGACAGCCTCAGCAATGTGACAGGACATGTGGTTCCCCCTTTGGCAGAGCCCCTTACTGTGAGGCCGCAGCTGAAATGAGGATCTGGGTTTCTAGTCAAGGGGCTTCTCTGCCTTCCTCTGTAAGTTCCAGCACCCGGGCCATGTGAACAGGTTAGAAGATTCTAGTAGCTCAGGGATTCCACAGGCCAAGGGCCAGATGCACTCACCGGCTGCTTCTTTTCACACCAGGAAACGGAGCCTACTAGCTCAGAGGGCGGCCAGGTTCCCAGCAGAGACAGGTTCCGGTCTGGAGGTGGAAGGCAGGGCTTCTGCTCACTTCCTCTGCTTGGTGGCTGCAAGGCGGCTTCCTCCTCCTAGCTGTTGGCGAGTGAGGTACCCTAAATCCACCGAAAGGCTGCCAGAGACCCAGCCCCTGCCCTGTGCCCTAGTCCTCCAAGGCTAGAGGGCAGCTTGGGTCTCTTTCACTTCCCTCCCTGCCCCTGCCTCTCCATTTCCAAGCAATTGCCGTCTGAGGTTAGGGCCCCAGCAGCAAACTGTGAGCTTTCCACCACCTTTGTTCTCAGAGTGCCCAACCTTCACCTTTGACTCCACCTGAGGAAGATGCCAACTGAGCTTGACTGACTGATTGATTGACTGACTGAGAGACAGTCTCACTTAGCCCAGGCTGGCCTCAAACTCACCAAACTAAGGTGGACCTTCAACTCCTGATTCTCCTGCCTCCATCTCTTACATGCCTGGCATACAGGCATGGGCTACCACATCTAGCCAATAACTCCTAAACAAGAGCCAGTTCTACGGGACCCAGCCCGAGTCCCTACATCCATAACCTACCTTCCATAGCTCTCCATCTTCTCCCCATACACCCTGCTGACACCTGCCTGTTGTCTACCAGTGCCACAGGCTTTTTGGCTGACGTCACACAGCTTGTGACCATGTCTTGTAAGCTCCCCTCAGCTCTTCATACAGCTCAGACCTCATTCCCGGCACAAGCTTCTGTATCTCCTTCTCTAGGAACCCTTCCACATCTTTGTCTAGCACAAGTGGCCTGGGCCTGCAACCATGCTGGATCAGCCAACAACATTGGCCAGTGCTTAAGAGCTGGACCCCCTCAGCCCCCCATCAAACCAAGAGCTCTGCAGGAATGGGCCCATTTCTCCCACTCACTATTAAAAGCCAGTTCCTGGACGTGTACTTTAAAAAAAAAAAAAACTCTTTTATTTATATTTTTTATATCTCTTTCTCCCTACTCCACCTCAATCCCTTCCAGCATCTCAACACCAGGTAGGAGAAAGGGTTATTGGGAGAAGGGGCATAGTTCTCTTAGATGCTTCCTGCTGGCTAGGGTTATGGGGTTCCTTGGAGCCAGTCCAATCCTTGTTTCAGGAGATCTCCAACTTCTTGTCTCACTGCATCAACAGCCACAGGAGCCTCGGGTGGGGGTGGGGGTGGAGTGGGGGAGCAGCAGCCTTGTTCTTTCTCAGAACTTCCACACTCTCTGGGCTCTGCCATTTATTCTTTCTCCAGAGTCCTCAGATCTGCAGCTGGCAAAGAATCCCTCTCAGAGCCCACTCGAGGCAAATAGTTTGCTGCTGTGGGCCATCTGAATCAGTCCCACATCCCACACCTGGGATTAAAACAAAAACATGCTTATATCCACAACAAGTGCCTACAAAAGCACCCAGCACAGAATGGTCTCGGTGATTATACTTCGATGCTTATTACTGCTTACAGACTGTGTTGGTCCCTTTTCTTGTTGCTATGACAAAAATACCTGAAAGGGGCTGGATGTGGGGCTGAACTGGTAGAGTGGCTGCCTAGCATGCAGGAAGCCCTGGCTTCAATCCCCAGCACCTCATAAACTGCGCTTGGCAGCTGACACGTGTAATCCAGCTCTCAGAAGTTGGAGGCAGGAGGATCAGAAGTTCAAGGTCAGCCTGGGTTTCAAGAGTGCCTGAGACGCTGTCTTTAAAAAGAAAGAAAAACTGGAGAGAGCAACTTAGGGAAGGTGGGCTTTATTTAGCCTCACAGCTGAGGGTGTGTGCAGGGAAGGAATGCAACAGGAGTGTGAGGTGGCCGGTCACATAGAGTCTGCAGTCAGGAAGCAGAGAGAGACGAATGCTGTGCTCCACTCATTTTCACCCTTTTATTTAGTCTGTATCCAATGGGGCCACACCCATTCAGTGTGGGTCTTCCCTCCCCACTTAAACCCTTCTAAAACACACCTTTCCAGGCACACCCAGAGGTGTGTCTCCTTGAACACCTCTGCAGCCAAGTTGGAATGAGCCACCGCAGGGACCAAGCTGGCTCTCTGCGAAGAAAGTCTTGATGGCTCGGTAGGAGTTTGCTGGTTCGAGGGTGTGGGAATGAGGTTGGAGGTGAGGGACCCACCACGCAAAGGCCTGTGGAATATCAGGAAGACAGAGCACTGTGGCTCTGTCAGGTCCCTATTGGTCTCAGAGCTTTAATCTCCAGGGTCTAGCCCGAGATGAAGAGTTCCATGATGACAGGTGGCAAGCTGAGTGAGCAGGAAGCTAGGCACCGTTGGTCTGTGACACATCAGTAGAGAAGTGGCCAGGTGGGAGGCAGAGGTAGAGTGCACAGGCACACTAAATAGGGTTCCGAAGACACTGTCAAGGTGACTGTGGGCACGGTCACTCCTGGTCATCTTTATGTAATCGCTAGCAGGGAAGCAAACATTAAGGGACTGTCACCTTGTGGAACTCAATCTGCAAAGCAGGTGTCACTCCACCACTCTGCAGGGGAAATGGAGGCTCCTGGCTCCCCACTGTCATTCCAACATACCAAAGCAGGACCAGAGTTCACTGGGAGGTGGGCGAGCAAGCATGCTCGGGACCCGTGTTGCTGGGCAGCTCTGTAGTTCAGCCCAAAACCCAGGTTCACCATTCTGAGTGGCTTCCGAGCCCTCTGACCCCTGCAGCGAGTGTTGTGAACACAGCCCACACATTCAAGTGTGGAAAGCAGAGTAGGTTCTATGGTTTCATGAAGGAAATGCAGCACCAGATAGGGGGACCAGAAGAGATGACGCTGTATCCCAGTTTAGCAGGGGGAGGGGAGCTGGAGCCCAGAGAGCAAGCAGCCCATGGATGCTGAGCCCAGAAAGAGGAAGCACTGGGGAAAGGCTGAAATAGGGACGTGGCCACTCGTGATGACTGGCTGAGGGCACAGAAAGAGGAATGTGCCCCCCCCAACAACCACCATAGACACTTTCCTGACAACAACTCCCCCCTCAACAAATACTGCTGGCAGGCAGGGCCAGGGAAGCCCACTGATTCAGTCCACAGAGATCTGGACATAGAACAGGAACAGGTACAAAGAGTGGGTGAACAGAACACCCTGGAGCAGCGGTCATCAAGGCTTCCTGGTCCTGGCAGCAACTGCCCCAGGCCAACACTGCAGTGGGTGCCACTCGTTGCCAGGAGCCACCTGCAGCCTGCCCCTTGAGCCTTTCATGATCACCACAGACTTTCTGGGACTGAATCGGTTCCAGCCTCACTCGAAGGCTGTGTGTCTTCAGAAGTGGGCGCCTGGGATTGGTTTCTTGCTCTGGTAGGTTTAGAAGCATGAGAACCCAGTAGCCATGAGCAAAAGGAATCCTGGGAGAGTGCCACACGTGGTGACACAATCCCCAGTGATCATTTGCAGCCAGGAGTGGTTAGTCCACAGCCTTGGCTCAATGTGCACGAAATACCAGGAGCGGGGATGCCAGCATGGTGGTGGGCTTACTCTTGGCAGCACCTAGAGAGTCTGACATGTGAAAAGGACCAGCCCAGGCTTTACACGCTCAGCTGAGCTCTGGTCAGCACACCAGGCAGACTTACGGTGTTGCTGAAGGTGTCCCTGTCTCGAGGCTGCAGGACAGATGCAGCCAAGAGACGGATGTAGAATCTCAACTTGTGAAATGTGGAATTGTGACACAGACTAAGGCCATACCCACTGAGTCTCCACAGGAAGGTGGGACTTGGGTACAGGAAGAGGGTCTCTGAGCATCCCAAATCCCAGGAAGGCCTTGTAACCCTGAGTCCCGCCCGGGTCTGCAAGAAGAGCCTCTGCCCTGCCTAAAAGGACCAGCAGCCATCTGAGGTGTCTACCCTACAGGGAATGCCAATTTTCTCCCTTCAGGCTCCATCACCCCACCCTCCAGGCACACATCTGCCATGGGAGCCCTTCAGTTCTGGAAGTTGGTGGGAGTTATATGGAGGCTCACTCCAATAGCCCTCCTCTTCATGGCATGGTTTTGAGTAGTCTGGGCTGGAGAGCACCGCCCTGACTGGCTCTCTCCACGTCTGCGGCCAGCTGGTAGCTGATTGTCTATAACAGCTTCAGTCCCAGGCTCCTGTAAGCAGGGTTTATGGCTGTCGACTGGATGGCCCTCATCCCCAGCTGGGGAGACAGAGCCTGAAGGCTCTTCAAATCTCCTTCAGTGTCACTTCTGTTATTGTCCCTTTGGCCAAAGCAAGCCAGTCACACAGCCAGGGCAAGAGCCAGCACAGGAAGGTGTCACCCGAGGGCACGGATAGAGGGGAGGGAGGGATTACGGTAGCATTTCTACCAGTCAACACTGAAAAGAGCTTGGGTGCTGGGCTAGGATGCAGGGTCAGAGCCGTGCTCAGCAGGGTCTAGCCTGGGGCCAGCAGGCTGTGGACAATTGATCCAGCACTGAAACAGATGGCCACCCACTAAGGATCTGCTCCATCAACAGAAGAGAAAGCCAAGCCAGCTCAGCAGCCCAGGGGGCAGCTATGGTGACAGAGGGTTACACCAAAATATACATATATTTGATAGATATATATCATTTGATATATATATATATCATTTGCTTATTATATATAATATACATATATTATATACAATATAATTATAATTATTATATATAATGTATAGATAATATATTTGTTATATATAATATATACAATATAATATATATCATATTGTATATAATCCAGGCCAGCTCAGTCTTTGCCAAATCTAAAAACACAAAAGGCAGAATTAAAGCTCTGAGGATGCATCTCCTGCCTCTGCAGACAAAGATGGAGAAGGAATCTCACCAGCAGGGCCCCGGGGACTGCAGCTGCTTCCCTGTGATCCCTTACCAGAGCACAGCTCCTCACCTGAAGCTCTAAGCCAGCGAGTGGGACTCTTGATACCAATCGGCCCAGAAGGCAGGAGCTCTCACAGGGCTGGGCAAGCAATATACTCTTATGCCCACAGGCTGCAGTAGAGCTGGCGTCATCTGCGGGACACCTACTTTTTCCCTCTTCTGGCCGCCATCAAGTCAACAGGAGCCAGTGGGTAGGTCATAGCA